CATGACTTCATCCTGGTACGATCCGGTAGGAAGGTATATGTGCTCCTCGAACAGCTCCTGCGCAAAGTGCTTGCAGTTCTTGTGGAACGTAGCCGTCGCCATCGGCTTGCTCATCAAAGACAGTTAGTTGACAGATGTCGTCGAAGCAGTTGCCCCTGCCTAGTATCTGGAGGGCCGTCAATACCTGTTGCATTTCATTTTGCGTGTGGGGTGTGGAAGAGAGGTGGGGTCGGGGGCGTATGCGGACGAAATCGTGAGTCGCGGTGCATAGTACTGTGGTTCTCGTTGTTGAAGCAGAGTCAACGCAGCGGTCCATTAGAGCAGGGTCAGCAATACTTTAGTCGACGCTGCGTCGAAGGTAGTGGCGTGTGTACAGAAACAATTACTTGTAGTTGCTGCGTGCAGCAATACCACAACATATGAACAGCCGTGGTGTGCCGCGTAGGTGCCCGCGCGTTTGGAAAGTGTGCCAGCGAAACCAGAGCGTACGCCGTTTTTCCCTGGCTGTGGTCCGTCTACAGCAGTACTTCCTATGCCAGCGATGCGACGTTCGTGTGACGGTACAAGGCACGTTCCCCATCGATCCATGTTCTGCCACCACAGCAGTACTGCTGTGTACTCTCCGGTACCAGCGGGTGAAGTTGTGCACTACGATCCAACGCATCGGCTCAATGCTCGGCACATCGCTGCAGTTCACCAACAACAACAACCTGTTTCTACTCGTGTGTTGCACCATTGACGCATTGAAAGCCAAATAGGGTGACGGTGGGTGAACGTCCAACGAGACAGAGAAACGGCGGTTTCGCCACCTGAAGCCAAAGCCAATGTACATCGAACTGGANTAGAAGTTGTGCACTACGATCCAACGCATCGGCTCAATGCTCGGCACATCGCTGCAGTTCACCACCAACAACAACCTGTTTCTACTCGTGTGTTGCACCATTGACGCATTGAAAGCCAAATAGGGTGACGGTGGGTGAACGTCCAATGAGACAGACAAACGGCGGTTTCGCCACCTGAAGCCAAAGCCAATGTACATCGAACTGGAATATACCAAACGTCACTGGACGTATGTACCTCGCACAAGTAGGAACAAGCTGCTGTGTGCATACCATGTATCTCACGGCCATTGGCCAACTTAATTGAAGCACTTGAGTAGCAGCAGCTTGACTGCTGTGTATCTGCCTGCTACAAGGCGTTCGTGAGCACCTTGCTGTTGACATGCGTGTACTCACATACATCGAGCTCGGTTGGAAAACGCGTGCATTAGGTTTTTCCTGTATAACACGACCCAAACGCACCGGCACATGCTCGGAATACCACTGCTGTTCACCACCACCTGAACTATCTGTGTTGAACGTACATACGGCGAGCGGTGTAGGTGTATCACACACGGACAACGGGAAGTACGCTGCGTGCCAGAGCCACCTTGCACGGCGGGACTAAATACTGCGATCTGTTAAGCATAAACACAACCGGTGCTTTGTGTTTCGTCAAAAAGACCTTGACAACAGAGCACCAGAGGGTACGCTGCTGTGTACTATCAGAGCAACCGTGCACGGCTGGACTGAACAACGAACTACATGTATAAAGGGACCACGAATAGCACAACAGGTGCAAAGTGTATCGAAGAGACGATGGGTACAAGAGGCGAGCGGTGCCACAGCAGTACAGTCCAGACCGATAGGAGCTCACCTTCAGTTCAATTGGTATCCCCTGACGTCCGACAGCATCCTTTTCTCGCACAGAGAACCACTTCTTCCCCCTCGCCATCTTCACCAGTTCTAGAAAGAAGGCGTGAGGTACCCGGAAGCGAGTGCGGAAGACCTTCGCCCGCCTCTGTGGTGTGGTCCAACAGGTCTGCGTTTTGGAGCTGCAGCCACCACGCCGAGGTACTCCAATCTCTTCGCTCCTTCACTTGCCTCGAACGCTTCACGGGCGGACCATCCTGCTCACCGCTATCCTCCCACTCGAAGGCGTCGTCGAAGGCGCGTAGTGCGACGGCCCACTGGGCTAGCGTGCGATGCGTGCGGCTTCGCTGCTGGACTTGGTGAAGGGCCGAGAGGGCCACCGAGAGCACGGTGGAAGGCAGCAGGTCATCAAAACCCGAAGCCATCGATGGCGCCGTGCAGTCGGGTGGGGCGTGCTGAAGAGGGTGTACGCTAGCAGATGCTGATAGAGCCCAACAGGAGAGGGCGGTGCAGCCGAAGGGCAGCCACATGGGTGTGCTGGGGCGTTGTGTGCTTGTCACAGCGCGTTGTACGCTTGTCCCAGCGCGTTCCCGCCGACAGCAGCTTTTGAATTCAAATCGCGCCGCATGGCACCCCCCCCCAATTATTATCCCAGGATCCAACCCGATCCGGTTTGGAAAATGGGCCTATTTTCCAACGCGGCGGCCGGGATCCTAGGAAATATTCGGCGATTTGGAATTTGGGCGTTTGGAATTGGGCAAATTCCTCCGCGTAAGACGCTCAAATAATTTTTTGGGCTGAGAAAAGGACCCCCCCCCCAATAAAAATCCCGAAATAATCACGACGGAAGGCCCTACGTTCAAGTGCCTTCTCAACCACAAATGTTTCCAAAGCTGCCCCCCTCCGCCCCCCCGGAGGTTCTTTTTGTACGGCGACATGGCGGCTGACTTCAACAGACCACGAGTTGTTAGGACGTTCATAGATTGAGTGATGCGAGTCCAGAGCATGCGAAGAAGGGCCTACTGAAAGGCTGCTGCTTACAGCTCTCTTGGCCCGCTTGCCACACACCGCGGATTGATGTCATCCATGTCGGGTCGAGTGAAGAAGAACGAACGGCTGGAGTACGACGACGCCATCCGCTCTGAGCTGGGCGCATGGCGCAAACGCGTCAAAGGTGGAGATTTGGCAGCCTTTGGACGAGGGCGATGACGCCCGTATTGCCCGCAACGCGCGATGTTGAACGTCGAACCCCCCCCCCCCGCGCGCCCGTTGTTCCCGTCTCGTTGACCCCCCACTCGCGCAGTCATGGTGTCCAACCGGACCAGACCGAAGTCGATCTCCGCAGAGCGTCGCGACTACTACCTCAAGCAAGCGAACGGCCGCGAGCTCCTGGAAGGAGTGGAGATTATCCCAGGAGCGGAGGAGGTACGCGGGCCCTGCCTTGACGGCGACTCCTACATGCCGCTGTATTGCTTGCTGTCATTGTCTCCACGAAATACACCTTTCCTGTCTCTGCTGATCACCGTTATCCGTACCGTTCCAGCTGACGGGGGTGCTCTTTCGTGGTCACAGGCGACCGACGCAAAGAAAGGGTGGTACACTCTTATGCAAATGCTTCGTTTTTTTTCATTCTTTTTGTTCAACATCGCGGCTATGTATATCGAGAAGGGCGTGTCAAACTTTGTGCGATCAATCTGTTCGTTGATCCTCGCCCCGACGTCGGTGCCGTAGATTTGTTCTCTTGGATCAAGCCTCGTGTCCGAAGTTTGAAGGGGCGTGCGGCACACAAGAATGTCGCCACCCAGCATCATACCGTTTGTGCTCCAGTAGAGGGCACACGGAGCCTGGCAATAACTACGGCCAAGAGCTACCTACACATCGGCGCCACCGCCCATCAGAGAGAGAGAGAAAAGGTGCCCGCTGTTTTCTGATTGGCCATTTTTTTCTATAGGAAATCTCCTGGTGCAGAAAATTCCATGGTCGACCGATGACGTCAGCCACGGTCATGACGTCACCTCTTGAAAAAAT